CAGTTGACTGACCATTTTTTCTTTATTATACTGTATACCTTTTTTATCTTTTGCATTTGACGGATTGACGCAATAAAAGAGTGTGTATATATCTATCTATCTCTACAGATGGAACATAGATCTAATAAAGATATCGGCATCAATACCTATATCGGTCAGACCCTAGTCAAAATAAAGGCTTACACATTATTTCACACCAACACTTTCCGGTTGTAAAGTCCCAAGCAAACTATACGTATAGCTTTGCTATCCACTGAGGCTAACAAGTTATCCTCACACTGTTGTGATTCCCAATTGTTGAGTTGGTTTGAAGATTGTACCAAAGTGTAACCAAACTTCCTCCAAGAACCACATGAGCAAAAAAAAATCTTAGCGCCACTATGCGGAAACAGGGTTAAACAGGCCTTCACAACTTTACTCGTCTCTAAAGCTGTAAGCTATATGTAGCTAAGTAAGTTTAAAATGTGACTGTTGGAGAATGCTGAGCATACATATTGATAACAAAGAAGTGGATAATGCTGAAGAAGTAGTTTGAGAAGTGTCTTCTGATTTGGATACTTTTTATTTCACTGTGAAACTGGGTCACTCCGAATCCTTTGTAACTGCTGTGAGTCTTAGCTAACTACAGCTGGCATCATCCTCAACTGGGCTGGTGGTCGCTATGGGCAGGTTTGAGCACAGCTCAGCCAAAAAAAAAAAAAAAAAGCACCAAACAAAAGTTGAGAAAGCAGCGAGAAAGTAAGCCAGATAGAAAATTTCAGATCTCCGAATCCTTTGTAACTGCTGTGAGTCTTAGCTAACTACAGCTGGCATCATCCTCAACTGGGCTGGTGGTCGCTATGGGCAGGTTTGAGCACAGCTCAGCCAAAAAAAAAAAAAAAAGCACCAAATCAAAAGTTGAGAAAAGCAGCGAGAAAGTAAGCCAGATAGAAAATTTCAGATTTGGGCTGGCAACCTACAGCCTGCCTCCGAAATTCACCCTCTGCCCACCTCGTCTTCTCCTCATGTTCGGGCACTGATTCACACAGCTCTTAGACCTTAAACACCCCCCCTGTTTTTTTTTATGCCTTGAAACAGAAAGTGCTTAACATAAGGGGTAAAGAGCAGGGAAGCTGAAATGGAGCGTATATCAGTAAGCTAGTGGCAGCAACCATGTCATTTTCAGCTGACGTGACAAAACAACAATGTCCACCTACAGGGTAAAATCCATGGTGACTTTGCTTGTTGAGCAAAACAATTGTTAGCATGGAGAATCATTTTCACAGCATGATGTAAAGCCTGGATTAAATTCACGAGTTCTGTCATCAATCATTCTTGTAAGGCTTGGTAGTGTTGCCAATGCATGTGGTCATTTGTGGAGTAAACATCACTCCGGCCGGTGAAAATGTATTAGCAGTGAATCAGGTGCAGCGATGACATTTAGTATTACAGCACACAAGAAGTTCTATGATTTTTAATGAGTGAGGAATGAATCAGAGCAGACCTGATAAGGTATGAGTCACTGAAGAGTATTTCATGAATGACTCGAATTTGAGGGTTATAAATAGCATAATGATGAGTTACTTAACATTAGCCTGGGAGGATTAACATTACCTGTGTTTCAAAGCGTTGTTGCTGTGGCTTCACATGACACAACACTTTTGGCTGGGGACACAAGTACCAAACCAAAAAGATTCAACAAGCAGATTCTCGAAGTTTCTCCTTGGACTGTGATCACTCTGATCCTGTAATTCATCAAGCCGTTTAACCCCCCCTCAATTTCAGCCCTGCTCAGAACAGGCTGTTTCTGTGTCTGTAGCTTTAAATGCAAGTGAACTGTGTTCGACCACATCCCGTTTCTCTGGAAAAGGATGTGGCTCAGGCGCCCAATGACTCCATCCTTCATCACACTGGTCACAAGTTTGCCTCCTGACCCTGACGCCGTTGTCATCACCTACTTTTCTCTCCCACATTATTTCCTCTCTTTCTAAATCCGTCCAGTCCAATAAAGGCCCAAAAGCCTTCCAGAAGAGAAGATAGCGGCTAACATCCTGGATTTCAACACAGTTGCTTAGCATTACTGGATATCCAAGAAACTGAAGGCCAACAGTAAACTCTCTGGGTAAACTCTATAGAATCTTTCACAGCACCATGTGTTTGAATGGGCTCATATGCTCAGTAAAGCTGTGTAGCTGTATCCAAAAGTAAAATATATTCTACAGTGCTTGACGGTTTGAGACGTTTTCGTGTTTGAAATGTAATCATCATGGACTTATTACATTCGGCCCTGAAGTGAAAACACTTAAGTAACGCAACAAGAACATTTTTTTTTGTGCATCTAGCCTTGAGGCAAACTAAAGCAGCGCCATGTAATTCCACCTCAAGTAGCACGTCAACAAAGTGCAGTCGACAGTATAATGTTTTACATCTGTGACAACTTCAAGCCCGCTTTTGATCCTTCTGACACCGTGTTCATGGTGCTTTCATAATTCAGCCATGTAGTGCTACAGAAGGTATACATATTTCATGGATTGATTGAAATATAGATAGTGTTTATGGTAAGGAGCTTAGCATTTTGCGTGTGCGCATGGTGATGATCTATATGCGTGGTTATGTCAGCTACTGAAGGTGCCCTTAGAGCAAATTTATAGATCTAGAAGTGAACACAATTCCCTTATGCTTTATAAGAGAGCAAGAATGCCTGGAAGCGCCATGACAAAGCAAATGATATATGCATGGCCTATAATTCATTCTGGGATCCATAGCTACCCATTAGAAAATGCTATTTCCCATTCATAAATGCATATGAAATGCATCACATCAGTTCTACCTGTCTCCCTTTATCTCGCCCGTATTCTGTAATGGTCACAAATGTTATCGAGACATGCTTGTCCTTTCCTTTGTCTTTTTATCTCAGTTCATCATTTTCTGTTTCTGGGCTTCTGATTTACATATTCACTTGGGTATGTTCTACTTAATTTTACCTTTGTATCCTGAGCCAACCTGAGACATAGGGCTGCAATTACACACCTTATCTTCAGAGGGGTTTCTTATTAGACCAAAAAAAAAAAAAAGCACCTCATTACATCATGTACCTGGTAATTAACTTCATGATCCTAAAATCCACTTTCACTTTTTCCTTACCTAACAGTAAAATTTCATAAACTTTGTAGATTTCATTTGGAGCTAAATATTATTATTACAATGAAGTCTCTGCAGGGCAGCTGTAATGTCTTGAAAGTGGCTTGAAGATTGTTGTGGTCTCATTCTCACTGTGTTGCAGTCTATAGTTAATATTTTAATACAGAGGCCCTTTTCAAGAGCAACAGGGATAAGATGCAGGAAGGATTTCTCCTTTGTGTTCCTCGCATTGTCCTCACTTCCTTGCCGCTGAGGTGGAGGTCGGAGCCAAGCCGTGCATGAATGAGGACGGCGGTGCTTTCAAAAGACTAAAGACATTGTGATATGTTTACACTGCTCTCGTTAGTGAATAACAGCCATCTCTCCCTTTAAAGTGCAGCATGTTGACAAAGATGGGCTGTCTTACAATTATTTATTGTTTTTGATTTCCTGATTTTGTACAAATTCTTTCTAGTGTAAATGTACTGTTGTATATTCTAACATCTTTGCTGTGCACAAGTTTTGTTTAAAAAATAAATCACAGCCCGTCTGGTATTGACGCCTGTGCCAAATGAAGGCAGTGTAATTACACAGACATGAATAAAAGTCTGGGCTATTAATTGAAGTTTTATGTCATATCTGATAGAGAACCACTGATTTAGAGGCCAATGGCACCTGAACGATTTGAATATTAAAAAGTTATGACCGGAAACAAACTTCTAACCTCAAAGCCAGGCACTAAATCACATGCACATATTTCTTCATTGATAAAATGTACTTGACACTAAAGTTTATATTACCTCAAAAGTTTGGTGAATACCAAAAAGTTCTGAACATGTAAGGAAAAACTTCAATTTTTAAGATATTTGTTGTTTGATTTACAGTAAATGTTCATCCATCTTCTTCCGCTTATTTAAGGTCAGGTCGCAGAAGCAGCCAGCGCATTAAGTCAGCCCAGACTTCCCTCTCCCCGGCAACATTTTCTAGCGCCTCCAAGGCATTCCCAGGCCAGACGGGATACTTAATCCCTCCAGCAAACTCAGGGTCTATACTCCGGGGTCTCCCCCCTGTTGGGCATGCCCAGATAACCTCCAAATGGAGACATCCAGGAGGCATCCTAATCAGATGCCTGAATCACCTCAGCTGGCTCCTTTTGATGCCAACGAGCAGCGGCTATACTCCGAGCTCCCCCACCCGGAATTTCTGAGCTCCTCACACTATCTCTAAGGCTGAGCCCAGCCACCCTCTGGAGGAAACTCATTTTGGTCACTTGTATCCGCGATTCTTATTCTTTTGGTCACTACCCATAGCCCATGACTGAAAAGCTGGACTAAAAGTGTGAAAATAAATATTTTTTTTACATGTACAATGGGCACAACAAAATCCACACTGGTTTAAATGTTGTAGCTTGGACTAATGGAAAAAGGGCATTAAACTTCTTTCTTATTATGTTTTGGTGTTTGATTATATTTACCTGACAGATCACAGCTCTCTCCACATGTCTGATTATTTCCATCCTACCCTCATCTCTCTCTCTCTCTCTGTCATGCTGCTCTCATCTCTCTCAGTCGTCTCTTTACATCGCTGCTCTTCATCCCATCTCTACTCCAATCCATCGCTCTACATCTCTCCTTCTTTACTCCATTTATATGGATTTCAACATTCTTCTCAAATCTGCCCCTTTCCGTCATTTTCCATCATGTTGAATCTTTGCTGATATCTGTCATCCCCCATCTGTCACCCCCCCCCCCCCCAAACCCACTCTCTCTGTTTTAATCTGAAAATCTTTGTATCCACCTCTATCCATCGTTTCTCTTCATCTGCTTGTAAGGTTTGTTTTTTCCTCCCCTTCCTAAATCTCCTCTCTCTCTCTCTGTTTTTTTTCCCTGTGTTCTCTGCAGCTGGTATTGTTCGGAAAAGGCAGTGGTGTGAGATGGTGCCATGCTTGGAGGACGAAGGCTGTGACCTGTTAGTCAATAAATCTGGCTGGACTTGTACACAGCCCGGAGGCCGAGTCAAAACCACCACGGTGAGTTCAGGCGGTCTTTTAGCCCCCCCAGGTTTTCGCAATCCACTCACAGACCAGTAGGTGTTTGATAAATCGGAGTGCTTACTGCACCAGTGGCACTGAGAACAACATGACTCTGAAAGCTGAAAATGAAGCATTTGCATAGAAAATCAATTCATGTGTGAATAAAAATACGAAATGTAATATCCATCATTGAAACAAGAACAATTAAACAGTTTCGCTTGCCAAACATCTCTGGTGAGAGACCATTTGAACAAGAATAATCATTTTACAGAGCACATAAAAACACTTGTGCATATTTTCTCCCTTAAAAAGTCTGACCTACAGGAATCAGGTGTTACAGTCTGTTTAAGGTTCTGTTTTATGCCATTCTTTTTTCGGTGTGTCTCGTAGAGGCGGCCACCATGACAGAGCCGTCATGACAGACACAATATGTTTATCGTTGCCGTGGAAACACTGGAAGTTACATCAAAGACCGCCACATAAGGAAGCGGGAACTGCTACTGAAAAAAAAAAACCTTGGCTCTAACACTCGCTGACGGCTGCACAGTTTTCCACCACTTACACAAGGAGAGAAAAAGGAAATGTCACTGTGCAACATGAGCAGTTTTAATCTAAATAACTTAAAAGATAGAGTCAGTAGATTTTCCCTTAAGAATAAAATATAGACTTATATATATAAATATAGCAAACCCTCTGTTTCGATTCTTGGGGCGATGAGCCCAGAAAGCGGGGGCCCAGTCTGAATGCTGTGTTTACAAGCTGCAAGGAACAATGCTGCTGACTCCATCTTTAACATAGGATTACTTTAGTTGTAAATAAATGATTAGAACATTAGGGTGTAATATATTAATAATCATCTGGATCTCAGATTATTATTTGGTTCTAATACCATAAGTGCAAGCTGCTGCTACAATGCTGAAAAGTGCACAAAAAAATGCAGTTATTGTCTGCTACTTAAAAACCAAAATTCTCCTCTGGATGCAGTCAGGCTGCTGAGCATGAAGATGATATCATGACTGAGAGCGGCAAGCTTTAACATAAGTTAATGTCTTTCATTTGACCAGTTTTTACACTCGGCTACTGCAGCTTTAAAAAAAATCCAACCAAGGGTGCGACTTAGATCAGTGTCCTTTCACCTTTGAGCTCCATCTCAGTTAACAAACAAAAAAACCCAGTATGTTGGTGCCAGCTTGCATACTGCAGGCCACATATGCATTAATAATAGCAGAAAACCAGCTCAGTATTCACTTCACAATCCCCCCCGAAAATGTTTCTCTCCCGCCTTCCTCGTCTTCGGCTCATCACCGCAAACTGTATGCCGTTTGTTTACCTCCTCGTCGCTGGCAATTAGCTTGAATTAGGGACGCTCTTAATGTTAATGATGGCAGCAGATGGGGAAGCCAACCATTTGTATTTGCTAAGATGCCGCCCATTCATTTACCCGCCCCGTCCTTCATACCCCCTTCTCCAGATCTCCAAGCCTCCTCCTCTCCACTTCACCTTCGACGAACAAGCAAACAAACAAACACACCTTCCTTCCCTCTCATGTCCTCCCACTGCTTTCAACCCCCCCCCCTGTCACACGCTTTACAAGACACATAAACACTGTTGCTCCCCAGCTTGTGTATACAGTCTATAGCGTAGCAATTAAAGAGGTCTGACTCGAGAAACATGTTACACAACACACATGCACAACGCAGCTGCCCTATCTGTGAATGTCAATGGGTGAACACTGAGGACCGGTGGGGCATCATTAATGCATCTGTCATGATTTAGTCATCAGTTGAGTAACTTGTTTATGCCTTTTTTTGCTGTAAGACAAACACACATACATATTCAAACACAAACACACACGCAGAATCCTGAACCGAGATGATGTGTTCTATTTTATCAGTCAGCTGATGCCCCCGTGCTCTTAACGTGATGCGATTCCTGTGTGTGTGTCCCATCGGCCTGACAGCAACTTGAATATACCTGGTTGAGGAGACTGCGGTGACAGCCCTTACATGTTCCACCTATAATGTAATTTGTTATCTGGGCAGACAGATAGCACACACACAGACAGGACACACACACACACACACACACACACACACACACACACACACACACACACACACACACACACACACACACACTGATAGGTAACGTAAAGCTGGATCCATTTATTATATTTGACACATAGAAGAGCGTGCATGTGTGTGTTGAAAGGGGGTTTGCAAAATAGGTGGTCACTGTGTGTTCCAAGGCTAATACATTCAATGTTCATGTGTTAACATCGCTCTGTCAGTGTGTCTTTTCAACCGTTTGCATATTCATATATATGAATATGTGTCCCTGCTTCCCTGCATGGGGTGGCCCTGTACGCTCATAGCCTACTTGTACATTTCATATCCCGCTTAGAATGTCAGTCAGTGTACCTCACATCGACTTACCCTGACAATATGCGGGGACGTGACAGGTATTTCTCGTCTGCTTCATTGGCTACTTTAAGCCGGGTGACAGCTCGTCAAACGGCTGGACGGCTCTGCGCACTCATCTATGCCAGCCCGTGTGTGCGTTTGAGTGCGTGTTTTAAGCAGATTTCACTGTCAGGGATCCTAATAAACTGGGCAACAAGCTGACTCGGGTCATTGTTTAAAAAAAATCCTCTTAAAAATCCTCATTTAAAAAGTGATGGATGAAGTGGCCTCGTTCGACATTGCTTTTTCCAACCATGCATGTGGCATAAAACAAAAAATGTCTAAAAAGCGTTAAAAAAAATAAAATAAAAAAAATAAAAAAAAGTTTAAGGCCAATTCTATGAATCAAATATTTCATAAAGGTCTTGTTATCTGAAGGCCCAAGGGAGAACTCATGCGCAAAAAAAACAAAACAAACAATTTACTCCTCAGCCTCCCTCTGGTTCACTTTGAATAAATGGCCCCTTCCCTGCGGCTTTCCAAGGTTAAACCCAAAAACTGCAGCTGACCCAATATTGCCTTAGGACTACTGTTGGCTGTGCACAGTCCAGTGAGCATGTCCGACCTGTCTGTCAGGTGTTTGTGCGGAAACATCAATGCATACAAACAGACATGTCCCGCGGGGCGTTTGACTAAGCCAAGACAATCTGACTCAACCCCAAAGCCCCATAAAGGGCTACTTTGGACAAATGTCAGGAGGCGCTTTTGTGTATCGGCCCAATGTTTGAGAGTTCGTGTTTTCTCTGTCAAACAGAGAGAGATTGTTGTTCAGCATGACACCGGCTGACCTCCTCTACCTTTAGTTGGAACCACTGCTAGGTTTGTGTTGCAAGGCAGATTAAATGTTTGCCGTGTTCTCCCACAACCTAAACAGAACAACAACCCGTCTCAGCTGCCACCATTTGATGTGCCTCTCTTTAAAATCACTTCTTCCCCGCATATACTTCCTTAACCTCTGCTTGACTTCTTCCCAGTCTGTTTTTGTCCTTTTCTCAGCAGCTTTTTTTTGTTGTTGCATTTTCAGTCTCTCTTCTCTTTGCCCCCTCTCTCCGTACATTCATCTTAGTCTGACTGCGCTTGAAGAGTACATGTTGTTCCTGTCAATAAAAACCTAAATATGGATTTTTAGGGCCCATTTCAGCAGAAACAGATGAAGATTGATACATGCTTTGCTCCCTGTTGACAGTGACGTTTTGAGAGGTTACTTATGCTAGCGGTGCACAAGAAACCGCAAGCTAAAAAGGACACATGTCAAATAGAGGTGCGCTTGTGAAGCACGTCATTTATTTCACTATCAAAAGCCAGACTAATGCAGTGACAAGTTTCTCCTCTAAAGCATTGACCTATCAAAAAAAATCCCATAGAAGAGCCATATCAAGCTCTGAGACTATAAATGAGCTCCTTTGGTTCACTTAACTGTATTAATGGAACCATAAAATGTGCTCCATGTCCATCAGTAACCACTTTATTTTCTTTCTGTTTTATCTCAATACATAAAATGCATTTCCAACAAAATGCATGCCTTATTATGGGGACCTTATGAACATAAAAATGAAAAATAATCACTTACAGAAGTACTGGACAGAGAGAGCGGTCATAACAAAGCAGTAACAAAATCTGGACGTTTTCTGGAACTTGACCCTACCTAGAAATGTTTTAATCTGTGCTTATCTACACACACCCTTTCTCCTTAGTTGGAGGGTTAAATTAGCATCATGTTACTCTTTGGAAAAGTTATGTTGGAACGATCAATGCTACTGGCCACTGTGACTGTCATTCAATTAACCACGACAAGTCATTTTCCACACTCTTGCTTTTAAAGCGAGCAGATTAACATCCGCCGTGTGGTGTGGGGAACATTTTTTGAGGAAGCCAAGTGAGACAAGGCCTCTAATTGGTGTGTAGCATCACTGGTTGTAAGTCTACATGAAAAATGGGATTAAAGTGTGGCTGTTCGGCACTGGTTCGGGAGTAAAAAAAATAGATGTTCTTGTACTGTCGAGGAATTGCTCAGGAGGCGGAAATTGTTGCAAAAATAAAGTGCTGGATTTATTAACAGAAAATTCACAAAAGATCAAAATCAACAGTCCCAGGTAAATTAATTAAAAAAAACAACTACGACTAAATAAACTGAATGAAAACACAGCCTCACAGGGGGCGCTGGTGGAGCAGTGGTTAGTGCGCACCCCATGTATGGAGGCTGTAGTCTTCCAAGCAGGCAGCCCAGGTTCGAATCCCACCTGTGGCTCCTTTCCCTCATGTCGTTCCCCACTCTCTCTCTCCCTGATTTCCGACTCTATCCACTGTCATATCTCTACAATAAAGGCACAAAAATCCCAAAAATAAATCTTAAAAAAAAAACAAAAAAAAAAACACTTTCCCCCCAGACTCTGGCTGAGTCTACTTTTATGCTTCTCTTGGCCCCGCCCTAATTGGAGCAAACCACTTCAGGAATAAAGGGAGGCCAAAGCACAAATAAATCCCCACTGAAACAGCATTAAATCATTAGACAGTAATGTATCCCCCCACCGGATTACTGATGGACGGTCTGCCTCCCCCCATCCCCTTGCTCCCTATCCCTCTTCCTGCATCTTATGCCATCTCTCCCCCTATCCCTTTCCAACCCCAGCGCAGTCTAAGCCTGTGAAGGCTGTTTCGTCATGAGCCGGGGATCCGGCCGAAGATTTCTGCCTTTTAATAAGGCAGTTTTTTCTTACCACTGTAACTTTTGCTGCTTTGCTAAAGTGCTCATGATGGATAGGCCGGGTCTTTGTAACATAACAATGAGTAAGGTCTTTTACCTGCTTTTTGTAACATAACAGTGAGTAAGGTCTTTTTACCTGCTCTTTTGTAATGTTAACAGACAAAGAGTAAGGTCTTTTACCTGCTTTTTGTAAAGTGTCTTGAGATAACACTTGTTATGAGTTGACGCTATACAAAATAAATTGAATTGAATTGAATTGAACCCTTTTAGGTAGAAAATAAAAACACTACTGCAAACTGAAGGCTCCACTCTGTCCAATCAGACAGAGGCGGCCTCCCTCAGCCTAATCACTCTGCAGGCTGCAGTGAGTGTAGGGAAAGTGGAGGCAGGTGAAAAGTTATGTGTGATGCTGATTAAAGAAGCAATGTAACGTAACCAGATGTCAGCTAGCAACAATGTACAGTCAACGTTTTCGTCATTGAAAGTCCTCCTTCTAGGGCACCGGTTGGCTAGTGGTTAGTGGGCGTGTCCCTTGTACAAAGGCTTTTGTATTCCAAGCAGGCGGCTTTGGGTTTGAATCGGGTCTTTCCCGCGTGTCATTCCCCACTCTCTCTCTCTCTCTCGTCTCTAAAATACAGGCATTCAAAAAGTCCTCCTTCTTCCTCTCAGGATTAACAGTTTAACAAAAGTAACTAAGGGGTGCAGGTTGAGTAACATTGTTGCCATATAATACAATGGATAACTAACCAGCCTCCTCACTGTTTGCTGTTTTAGACTGAAAGTACATTTAATAGTCAAATGGATTATAAAAATAGGTAGATCTTTTGAAAGCAGATCTATATGACACTTTAGTTTCCAGTGTTAGGTACCAAAAGAAAAAAGTAAAAAAGTGAAGCATGTCTAACCTGCAGCTCAAAAGCAATGTACTTGTTGGATACATGCCCTGACAACAGGATAATGTCATGGTCTTGAAAGCTCCTCTGGAAAAATCACCAGTTAGAGAAATGCTTTGATGCTTCAAGCAGGGGGTGAATTTCACGTTGCCATCCCACTTTCCTCTTTCTATGATGCTAAATGATTTGAATATATATTTTATCACACAGTTACCCCGGTTAAACACTACCTTTTTACCACCTTCCCTAAGCGCTTTCCTTTGCAAAAAGCGATATGTAGTCTCAGCAGTCATCTCCTATAGCTCCCTTTTTTCTCTGTGAAAGGCTTGCTGCTGTCGCTCTCCAGAGAGGAAGGTGCTCTGCGTCGTGCCCTCCACCATTTTAGACTGGCAGATGAAACGACTAAAGGAGCTCTCTCTCTCTGCATGTGCCGACGCAGGGAGCTCGGCAAGAAAGAGGGAGAGTGAGTGCACCATTAGAGGAGAGATGCGAAATCACCTCGGGTTATCTGACGGCTTTTGTGACAGCACGATAAGGGCTAAAAAAAAAAGAAAGAAAGAAAAAAAAGGAATCAAAACCGAGACAGAAAAGCTGTGTGAGCAGAGAAAAGAACAGTTTTGAGTTAAAGACAGAGAGCCAGTCAGAAATACACAGCAAAAAACATTTGTTTGTTTTTTAGTCATTTTCAGTTGGCATGTATCAAGCACTGCTCTCTTGTTAAGCCGTTTGCAGGAAAGGACAGAGCTTTTTTAAAGTTTGTTTTCTTTTGCTTAAGTTATAATTGCAAGAAATCCAGCTGCAAGAAAAAAAAACTGTGAAGCCACCTTTTCTTGAATGCTATGTTGTTTCAAAAAACATCCAATGAAAAACACATTTGTACACAACAAGACACTAACTGTTTTTTTAACCTGATAAGCAGTCCAATACACCTACTGGTCCCGTTTTATACGACGCAATTATACAACACACCATGGTTTTCAAACATGGCAAGAAACGATGAGTCAGACTGGAAGAAAAACATTGAAAAACGCCCAAAAATCTTGAAATGTTTAACTTAGTCTTAATCATACGTTCCATTGGGTTGGCTCCTGATTGGGGGTATTTAGGCTGTGAACAGAGTGCTCTGAGCACAAGTGGCACCTATTGAAAGACCGTGATTACAGTAATCAAGACTTTTGCGGAGAGGAGAGAGGAGATTAGTAGACAGAATGGACTACAGAAAGGAAAAAAGATTAGGAGTTATTAAATGAGTGTAATGTTTGATAATATGAGCTCCTGTGGAGCCGTAATGCATATTGATACACTCTTGAGGTAGTCTGAGTGTGGCTGAGGGGAATAGTCTACATACAACAGAGTGCTAGTTGCGTTTCCATGTTAATGCATGAAAATGAAGGCTGTTTTTATAATATAAAAAAGTTTACCTCAGGCCTGCCTGTTCATGTAAGTTCTGGAGTATGCAGCTATACACCTGCCAATGTGTGTTTGACAGGGTATGAAAAAGCTCTTTTCATTGGGGTTTCCAAGCCAGTGTGAAGGACTTCCCTCCCTCCTATACCCCCCACCCCCCACCCTCCTTCAATCACTTTCTTTCTGTCTCTTCCTCCCTCTGTGGATGCAGCTTAAGCAAGGCCCTGATGGGATCTCCCCCCCCCCCCACCCCCCACACTCCCCAAAGCCTCACCATCACCACATCCCCCCCTCTGGTTGTGGGTCGGTACCTGCTTTTGGTAATTGATCCCTCTGGGCCCTGCAGAAAGATCCAAACCGTGGGTTGAACGGAATCACACCACTAAGAGGACAGCTGCTTGGCCACCCTAGACAGGCCGAGAGAAAGGGCGAAAGTAAAAAAGAGGGACTGTTGCTGTTAACCATTAGCTCTGCCTGCCACCGACCTTGCAAATGGAGCCAAGTCAGCAAATCATCTGGGCCTTGGAAAATACCAAGATCTCCGTTTTGGAAGTTGGTAAAGATACTGGGACTACTCTGACTTTTTAGGTTTCTCATCAAAAACCAAACGCTTGTGGGACTGATCTGCTAAGTTAGCTGTGATGTTTAAGCCAGACGCCTCTGCCCGTTATTGAAAGAACCTTTGACTGTATTTCATACCTGATTTTGATCACTGCCCATTATTCAAGAATTACTGCCATTACATCGAGGCCAAATAGGGTGTCAAGGCAACCACATCCCTGGAAAATGAACTTGTCTAGGGCTTCCAGGCGTCTGCTGCCCATGACATAATTGCAATTGCATGTCGCTGCTAAAGCTAACGGTTAGGGCTTACCTGTTGGCCGCATGTATTCAAGCTGTAGATGGTATGTATTTGAAGATCCATAGTTGAAGAGAAATGAGTGTGCTTCTTTGCTGCTGTGAAACCAGCTAAAAATTCCCTTTTTTGGTCATTATAAGGTTTACACTAAATATATGTAAACACCACCAAGTTAGAGTTCTGACAGGATTTTACTGTTTTAAGTGTGTCACGGTTGCTGTATTAGGGACGCTAGTGGTCAAAACTTGCATGTTATTTAACATGTCAGCTTTTCTGCGTGTTGTAATCATGCGTCGTTGTGAAGAGATGGTTAATTAACAAGCCCATACTACAGCTCCAAAGAGTGTTCAATAATGGATGCTACTTTCCTATACATTCTTTTTGCCTTCCCAAGCCTCCGCACCAGTCACGTGACTGAAAGCTTCAAATATTATCCTCACATTAATGGAGGCTAGAAAACCCATCACTGACAATATGTTAGTCTTTTAATGGACCACCATTGTTGAAGTGCAATATGAAATCTGTGTTTCCAATACCACAAGGACAAAGTGCTCTGCCACACAAAGGTGTGATTGCAGTATTGTATTGATACTGAAAACATTGCATCTCAAATGTTGTCAACTTTAAGGTGCTAAGAACAACAGCTATGTTGGGCTTGTAACAGTGCATTTCTTTTTACACAAAAGAAAATTATTAGAATAGTTTTAACGCCATGGTGTTAATTCGTTTTTTAAGTAAAGTCGTACATTTTTAAGAATTATGTTTTTCACCGTGATTTTTTTTTGAATGACCAAACGAATCCATGCTAGCAGCACTGAGTGTGTCTTTGTACCAGATGCAGCTCTGAGTTTAATGTGACTATGAATGAGTTTGTGGTCATTGAGAACTGTTATTCTGTTGTTTAGCAGGTTCATTGGTTACCGTGCTGATCATCTCATTAGCATATTAGCTAGGCTCAAACGACATTGGGGGTGCAGCATGAGTTTGAATGTATTTATTTAATAGGTACAATGACATTTACATAGTTTCAATACAGAACATGAAACTGAGAGCTAATAGCTATTGCTAATTTCCAACTCTTGTCGCTAGTTGGGCCTTTGGGTAAACAAACAGAGTAAAAATGTACATCATTCATTGAAGATACACTGGCACTCGAGTATAAGAAAAAGTGCAATTTACTCAGAAATAAAAGATTTGAGTGCATAAATTCTTTAGCTGTATTGTCATGAAATTGTTTAACAAGTCAGAGATTGCTAATACAATCACCAAGGCATCTTGTGTTTGGCTTTAAATGTGAGCTACTGAATGGCAAAGAGACTCTGCTGTATTCCTGTTTGAATACCCGGTACACAGAGCAGACACCCTGTGATAAACACAAACACAAAACAGCTCATCAGGTTTGTACAAAAAAACAGGAACCACATATTTATGACACCTACATGTAGTAAGACAAATTGATAATGACTGGTGCTAGTGGTGATGGTTGTGTTACTGTTACTCTGAATGTAGAAACAATGCATCCTCATGATGGGCTTGATAACCAAACTCCTCTCGCTCTCTCCCCTCAGGCTCTATGACGCGACAAGAGTCCCCCTCGACACTCATGCACTATGGAGAGCATTGACGACCCCTTGACAGACAGCCAAAAACCATCTACCAACACCACCTACTCCACCCTACCAACGTCAGCAACATCACAGCACCTCCAACCAAACCCTGGTCCCTCAAAGGCAGGACGCAACACGAGCAGCTGCAGAGCACCAGGGTCCTCATGGAGGCAGCAAGGTACGACAGAGAGTCACTGAATATGAATTTCCTCCCATGAAGGAATCCTTTACTCTGTCTATGGAGATATTTCAGTGGAGTTAGTTTTGCGTCAGGCCTAAGAAGAAGCCAGTCATATCTTTTTATTTCTGTTTTTCATATTGGAAGGGCCTAATAAAGTTTAAAATAAAAACCAAAAATGAACATTCAAAGGTCATCTTATTCACCATGAGGCAGTGAAAAGGGTTCTGATAAGATAAGTCTATTGACCTTTGGCGTGAGTGATTGAGTTTCATCCCTTGAAACTTATTTTTCAGAATCTTATTAAAAAAACATGACAACTTGTAATATTGTTTTATGGCACCACAATCACATCATCATCCAGCTCAAGCAGAAGATCCAAACAAAAGGAAGCATGAATAACACACACACACACAAATCAAGATACAATTTAAACAGCCGTCTGTTTGTTTGATATCTCTGTTTGCCTTTCTCGTTTTTCCATAAGCTCACCAAGTTCCCCAGGGAGTGTTTAAACACAGGAAATCCATGTGTGCAGCAATACCAGTAAAACCCCACTGGCTTATTTCCCGCTTGTTTTTTTTTTCTTTTTTACTCTGCTTTATTGGCATGCCTTAGATATCGTCTTTAAAGCACTGTGTCAGATGGCGTCTGTGCGCTCAAATAAAAGACGAGGCACCAGACAGACTGATATTAATGTAAGTGATCTGGAAATACAGAGTAGCTGTGCAGTAAATTTAACTTACATTGCAGACAAAGGGATGAAAAGTCGTAAAAATGCCCAGTCTCATTCTCGATTCTGAAAACCAGGCTATTCGGTCAGTCAATATTGCCATCGTTTATGGGCCCATGTTGGGATTGTGCCTTTGATAAAAAGAAAGAAAAACAACATCCTATCCTGCTGCTTTCCAGTTGGAACAGCAAGTCTTCAGTAGATTTGAAACTATAAATAGACACAGGAAGGAATGCATGCGGTGAACACAGATAGTCTCGCCGTACATCCTATAGCTTTATTGCCCATTTACCAAAGGAGAAGGCTATCTAAGATTGGATTTAAACACTTGATCCCATGATGTACTACAGGAAGGGACACAATTCCATATTGCTTGCAATCATCTGATCTCATCCAGTCCCATAAAATACAGTAGCCTACTGTACATGAACACACAATGTGACCAGATACGATCTTTACATTACAGTGTTACATTCAGGGTTATAAAACTTATCAATGACATTGTGTTATTCTTTTTCAGAAGCTAACGTTGTCGTAGCGTAATGCTAAATCTGTTTTAATGTTCCCTCTTGAGCATTCTGTGTTCCGATCATATTGTAGCATGCAGATAGAGAAGTGTGTTTGCTTTGCTGTTCAGCAGAAATACAGTATGAAAGGCTTGATAATGACATAACGCCCTAGATAGCTTTGAACTCTCTTTTAAAGTGGGAAAAGGGGGCCTAGCGTCTGGAGGCCTGTGCATACATGTTCATGTGTTTTGATCTCGGTATCTGCTCCAGGCATTATCTAACTTCACAGCATGTAATGAGCAATTTCCCTCCTTGATTAACCTGTGGATCATTCCTAACCTACAAGTTCACTTATGAATATTCATCAAGAGGACTATTGTGCAGCACATCCGGCAGAAAGCGTGCATGACTGCACAAGGGCTTTAACGTTAAACAGCGAGGGCAGGAGCAAGCATTAGAAACAAGTCTAGTATGTTGATGTAAAAAAGCAGCAGCACTTTGCAATGACAGATGAGCAAAAAGGGGTTTAATCCCATTAGCTGATGTTTTAGCACTACCTCGCCTACTTCTGTGAATGTGCAAATGATTCAATCAATTAATCAACTGCATACCCCTGAGATCTCGCAGTGTTCACATCTATCAGAGTCCAGATGAAGAGTTTAGAGCAGGGAAGTAGATCAATTTTTCTTTCATGTGTTGCCTATTCACACGTTAACAGTGTGTCACGGTGCTTTAGCATTTGAAGGGAGCCAGAAAGGAGTTCACACAGAGTGGAAATGTCAGGCTAGGGCCATGTGTTTGGGGCACGTTTACTCTACATCCTCTAAAATCCCAGCTGGAGAGCGACGCCGTACTATGTAATGTTTTTACTTTCCTTTAGTGCCAGCAGATGTAGCTGCATGCTCTTTCATTTAAATGCACATGCAAAATGCATAGAAAGGCCTGGACAAATGCATACAGCTTCTCATTTATACATCAAAGCATCTTAGCTTTCGCCCAAAGACAGGAAACTCAATGTAGTCAAGACGAGCTCTGCGTCACATTTTCCCTCAACTCCACATTCTTGTGCACACCGGCATATTCTCTCACTATTATAAGATATAAAATAGAGTAATATGGTCGTTTCCTGATAAACCCAAAGGTAATAATCACCTGGGGCCTGTGAATTTTATTCATAGGGCAAATTCATCTCATATTCATCTGACATCCGTATACCTCTTTTTTTTAATAGAAGGCCTGCATTTCCCTTAGATGAGATTCTCGTGTGAGATTTATGGGTAACCATTTGCCTCGGTGTGGGTGTGAGAAAAAAGGGGATAGGAACAGAGAGAGACTATAAGAAAATTACCATAGCAGACACAGACTGTGGCAACGTACGTAAACAACACCACCTCTATGTTTAGCATCTATTTAGATTCACTTGCATTTTATAGCGTTGAGATCTCTGCAACATCCCTATGCATATAGGTTCAATATTTTTGTATTATCAGCGGCTTCTTGACCATTCCATTTCATGCCACTGCAATCTCAGTTTTCCCACCAGGAGGGTCTGACGTAGGAGAAATAGGGAGCTTGCAATTCACCATATTTACACAGTGGTCCACTTTCCTCTGAGGTCATGCTCAGCCAAAGCCGATCAACAACATCATAGTGCCTTGTTTTTAGAAACAAAGGAAATCATGCAAATCATTATTGTTTCACTGCTTTCAAATAATCAACAGTTGAAAAACCATTCATAGAAAACTGCCAGATGATACATTTTCAAGTTCAAAACAATGATTTGTTAGCCTACCTATGAGCAACAGTCAGAGCTACAATTAGACAAAAGCTATGCTACTAGTCTGCCATTAACATGCTAATATCACAAGCTAGGAAGTGGCTGAATGCTATACCTTAAAATGTGTTGCGTGAAATGCTAGAACGGTGCAATGCACAGGTAGTGGTAACGCTAGCAAGGAAGTGGTTCAATGCTAACATGTTGTGTGATGTCAGCAAGGGAATTATCAATTTGAAATGAAAACTATTTTTTTCCGTTTTTTAATACAGCGGTCTGGTGTTAAATGTTCATTTATCCGTCAAATATGTTTCAATAAAGCATTGTCTAGGGTATTTTTACATCAAGGCAACCTCATGCTGTTAGCTTTTTCGAAGCTAACGATTCAATCATATTCGTCCCAATGTACAGTATGTCCCGCTTTTTCTCGTGATTAGTTCTATCCCGTCTCACGACACAGCAGTGAGATACTCTTGATGTTCCGTTTAATGGGGACCCTTTTCTACTGTGTTGTGTTAGACTTTTAATAGGTATTATTAGCACTCTAAATGAATATAAGTGGCTAAGTGGTAGATGCTATATTTGGATGTTGTCCAACAGTAGCATATGGGTTAAAAAAAATGTTGATATGTTCTGAAAAATGTGGCCTGTGTGAGCTTACAACCTGCCTGGGTATATCACTACAACAACATAATTTGAGCTTCCCTTCATGACAATGTTGTCAGAGGCAAATGGTTGTCATGTCTATATGGCCAATGGGATTAAACACCTGTTAGGGCAGCGTTCACATTCAAGTAGTTAGCACAGTCATGCCCATGCTTTAAGCTGTTACACCTCTGGGTCATTTCATGCCTAGCTCCTACAAATCCATGACATTATCTCTATTAAACCCCCACTCATCGAGATGTTTATTATTCCCACAGCATCCCGACATTGTCATCTGTGATACATGCTAGTACTCCTTCCAACACCTGCCCCTTTCATGGTAATTTGCACCCTGTGAAATCATCACAAGTTCATTATTATGAATTAAGCTTCAGCGGCAATGCAGCAGTCGTGTAAGGCAATCCGCGTCTGCAGCAAGTTGGCTGTGTGACTGGCTGGGGCCAGATGGTGAGGAGGCTTCCAGATTTGTCTTTCTGCGGTAGATAAATTGTTTCTCACTCGCTGCACTGCGAGACTTGCTTTGTTGTTGGGTTACACCCGCTGACGAATTGTAAATATTTGACAGGCAAAACAAAGAGAGAGTTAACTGTTCAGTTTTTATTTTTACTCTTAGGAAAAGCTCACAGAGTGCATCTCAATGTGGTAGGGAGAAATGGGTATACAAATTGCTTATGAGGACACACAATGTATTTAGTGCTCCTCTGAAAAGTAGCATTTGTACTCTTAAAAGTGGTTCAACATTTGGAAGGATTGTTATTTAATCTCATTGCTCAATTAGATTTGAGCTAAGAAGGATTACTGTTGGTTACGAAACAACAGCCAGAAGCCAGTTAGCTTAGCTTAAAAGCAGGAAACACAAGGAGACTTTACTTTTTTTTCTTTTGTTTTTTACAAACTAGATTTGAACTGTTACAATTAGCAAGAGAGCACATAGGCCGAAGTACATTTCGAAAATAATTTCACCATTCAGTAGAATGATTCTAAAATTTTCAAAATGTGCTTTCCTGCTGTACGAAATATGGAAGGACTCATGTTGTTCTACTGTTGGGACTGAAAATATAAGGACACAGCTTGCAAAAAGTTAGTCAGACTCGAGAAGCAATCTACAATGCTGTAAAATGAAGCCAATGCAAAAGTGCAAAAAACCTGCAGTTCATAGAGTGTCCACTTGAGGCTGGATGCAGAAGAACTGGAAGTCACATACACACCAGTTCAAAAGAGACAATTTTAACAGCAGAAATTAAAATGTTTACATCCTTATTCCAAAACAGAATTGGTTTGATTAGCTGATGTCTCTATTGGCACACACTGCTTTTGATAACAGTTCTGTTTTAATTTTATGAAGGATAAATTATTCATAGTGAGGCGTGTAGCTGACCAATCAGTCGGCCAAGCCCAGTGTTGCTATTGTCAGGAGGCTTAAGACCCGCCTCAGCTCCAGCTCTTTACCTGTTGTTAGGTCGACTGAGAGTTAGGTTGAGACAGCATTCCCAGCATGGCGATCGCCATCGATGAAAAAACCGAAGCCCCCTTCAGTTACAGATGGGTGACTTCACTCAGGCTTCATCCCAACATTACTTGTTTCTTTTCAGCTGTTCTAATAGAGACGAAGAAGGCCCAACAAATACCTTTACACAAAAATGAAATGGCTTCCTCCATGAGTCCCCCTTCAGAAATGATCTACCATAGTCTTACACTGACATCATTCTCCAACATCATATCATGTTTGCTTTGTTCTTCTTGATTCACAGATCTCATAACACAGCCAGAGACTGAACAACTGGGGAAGGACTGTTTTAAGGAGCGAGTATTACCCTGGACACTGGAAAAACTGCTTTCCGTAAAACACCTTCTATCTCCTGTGACTGCCTCCTCTTGGTTCGGGACTGCTCCTTCCTGCTATCTGTCGTCGGGTCAAAATGTGGCATCCACCTTCTCTCCTCTTTATCTGCCTGCTGTGTAAACGAAGCAGCGCCTGCTCGCCGCCACGGAGGAAACGGACACTTTAAAAATCCCATGAATGCAGGTTTTTTTTTTTTTTTTGCCTCTTTCGATAGCCTGCTATTTAAAACTGCTTTGACTAAAAGGGATTTTTTTTTTTTTTTTTTTTTCCACATCGCATCCAAGGAGCTCGACGAGCAAAGACAGGATCATTACAGACGCCAGACCCTGTCGCTGCTTGGACCACCTCATGAGGGCCATGAAAACTGAACTGAGCGCGCTCTGCTGTGAATAGGCCTTCTGCTGGAGTAAACCTCCCATATTTTTATAGACCAAAGAGCAAAACAACAAATATGATCATGATGACGGAGTGGACCATCTGGCAAAGACACACACACACACACACACACACGCAGACTTTGTGCACTTGCTATTTGTGCGCGCCACCGACAAACGACTGCCCCCTCCCTCCCTCCCCCACACAGAGACACAGTGCACAAGAAGGGGACTGCTGTAAAACTGAACCTTTCGCCCGGTGGCATGTGTACTGAACACAATCAAAGGAGTACTTTTAAAAACTTTGCAGACTTTTTTTTTTTTTCTCAGACTAAGCCCACCACTGTATTTTGGAACTGGAGATATTAGGTATTACATTACGTATAACTGTGTATCAAAAAAAAAAACCTGATTTGCATTTTTACCTAGCGACAGTTTGGGACAGCTTCGAGGAACAGTGTCAAAGTTGGATATGGAGCGCATATCATATCAAAGAGGTGATGAGTATCTACAGAGAGTCTGAATGCTACTGAGTCTGAAAAAAAGATGGAGTAAAGACATGTCATTAAATGTATTTTAAAAAGGCCCTAAAAAGTTATATATTTAACAGTTTTATATGTTGTACCTTTGTAGAGAAGCTTATTGGACTTTAAAATGTGGTCACAATGGCAGTTTAGTCGGATGTGAACACACGCTGTTGTTCTCATTACTGCTGGCTCGTAGTCCCAGGTTTTCTGTTCACACTTCGGTAGCCGCTTTCTTTTCATGGTCATCAACACGTCACTGTCTATCAGACGCATTCATGAAGAAAAAAAAAAAGGAAAGTGACACAATTTATTGAGGACTGATCCGCAGCCAAATGAACATTGTAAATCTATGGTAGTCAGTGGAAGCCATTGAAAAACCTGCTAATTTGCTATGATATTGTAATGTACACGGTGTGGAATACTGACTCATTTCCTCTCTATGGGTTTTTGATCTCTTAATTTATTTTTGTGCTTGTGTTTGTATTGCACAAATTTGGCCTCTCTCCGACGGCGACGGATCCAAGAGGAGAGAGAGAGAGAGAGAGCGAGAGAGGGAGAGAGAGAAAGCAGAGGAAGCATCGCAGAAGTATTAGAGTCATTTACATACATTTTTTTATCATGAAATATTTTAAGAATAAATTAAATACATGAAAAGAAAATGTCCCCCTGCAAATTGAGATGGTCCTGGTGTTCAAGGTCATCAAAGTAAAAAGTCAAATGATCTTCTCCCTGGTCGCACTTTGAATGTGTTCTTTCTGCAAGACTCAAAATGAACGCTTCCTTGTCTTTCCCCAGGTGATCTGATGGGTTTGATGATAGGGATGGGCATTTTTTTCAAGGATAATTCCTATTTGAAAGTCACTGGCAATTATTCAAATCTAACTAGTACCCCACCCTCCTCGCACACACACACACACACACACACACACACACACACACACACACACTTAGCCAGATCATGCATCTCCAAACCGATGAGCCTGAACCTCATTCACTTTGATCAGCCTTTACAAACATGAAATGATGATATCAAGCCAAGATGCAGCACAGGCAAAAAAGAGGGAGGAATGCACTTTTGTGCACAAGTGGTACAGAGGAGCAGATTGATTATGAACTAAAGTGATGAATGAGAAACATTCTGTGGGATTAATACACAGACCGTCGTTATGAAACTTCAGAATCCTCACTGCGCTGCATTATTAACCAACAGTTCGTGTCCCCTTATTGAGTCAGGGACGCAGCATGACAGACAGAGAGCTCTGTGTCATCTGTATATTCACTGCGCTGCCTCACCGTCCTCCTTCATCAGTACAACTCAAGAGAGACCCATGACATTTTCACATCTGGGTTGGTTTCATTTTCAAGTCAAAGTGTGTGGTTTTACCTGGCAAAGTTTGCACGTGTCCTCATTTTCTTGCTTAGTTTTCCAGAGGTATTTACTCACAGAACTCTTTGACGGCTGCTTGAAGTCTCTGCATCTTTTTCTCCGGTTCTGACTCCCACACTGCCATTTCACCAGCATCTGGCACTAATGCTGTCTTCTTCTTTGGTTGATCAACGGCGCTAGGCAGACAGCTTTCAGAAGCGCATTACAATCATCGGCCTGTAAACACAACGGAGAATAATGTTTCAAGTTATATTATTCACATGAACACTTTGATTTTCCCTTTATAAAAGAATGACTTTTCAAATGTTCAAAAATCCTGACCCATCCCAATTGATTACCCAAAAACAGATTTGCTCCTGAAGTCCAAGGTGCACCGAAACAAAGTCCTTGCTAAGTGTCAGAAAGCTGGTTGAACTCGGGGGAAGCTGGGTGTAAACTTTGAAGTTAGAGTTCCCTGCAAAATAATAATACACACATCCATTTACAATTGAAATAAGTTCATCACATCTGGAAAGATTTTTACATTTTTGTGGTAAAACTGGGCTGCATACAGGAACAGAAATTTTGTTTTTCGGGGTGCTACTTAACTCGACTTTATTCCATTTTACTGGGATTATAGATCATCTTAGACTTTCAGAAGGGACTGGGCTTGTTTTATTTAAGCCCTCTTATTTGACAGGCCAAAACTCTGGACATGAATAAGTCCACACCTTTCACACTTGGTCTATGACTGTGTTTGGCCAGCTAGGCAGAATCTGAACACAATGTAACAGCTAGACATTCTTATCTTGGTTCTTCTGGACACAAATATATTTGAATAGAGATGTAGTTTTCTAATCCACAGCATTTAAAAAATGCCGACTGTCCAATCACAGCAAAAGTGCACTTTCAACAACCTGCAGTCATTTGTCTCCAGTGAAAACCCAAACATGTTACATCTTAACCTTTTATTTCTAAAGATATGTCGCTTAGAGGGACTGAAAGATAAATGAAGGGCAATCTTCCATAAAACCAGCTGGGTATGGCTGGTTGTCTGTCTCTCTATGTCAGCCCTGTGATTGGCTGGCTACCAGTCCAGAGTGTAACCCAGCTTCTCGCCCAATGACAGCTGGGATCGGCTCCAGCCCCCCACGACTTTGGACCGGAAAAGAGGTATAGATAATGGATGGATGGAATTATTTTTACAGATTTTTGAAGTATGACCTACAGTAAGATTTATCTTATTAGGTACTTTTTTTGTAAAAGATGTGTTTAACAAAAATGTAGACCATACATGCGGCGTTCCAAGGTAAGTCAAGGAAATGTAATTGTACGTGTTTTCAAAGAACACTTGTTTCTGACACAGTGCAATGTGAAAATAAAACGACTGAAACCCTCAGGGGGCGCATTTGAAAGAAGAATCCCATCTTTTGGATGATTTGGTGACATTGGAGAAAAGGTGAGGAATTTAAGTAAAACAACCGTATTGTTGTTTTGACAGTTAAAAAGTGATTTAATCATGAGAGGGAAGCCTATTGTCTGTGACAGGGGCTGAGAGGAGAAAATAATAAAATGCGAATAAAATGTCAGTTGAACCAATAATCCATCAAAGTATGCAATTACACATTCCACAGAACTGTTTTGAACTATGATGAAAGCTGTCATGACGTTTTCCAATACACTTTTCAAGGGCTATTGAGTTGACTTCAGTTGATGACACTTGCAATAATAATGACTGTATCATCACAGTAAAGGCTGCTCGCGGAGTAGATCTCATTATCATTTCCCCCTCAGTGCCGCTTCAATATAGTTGCAACGTGATAGAAAAATATTTCTATTTCATATTGTTTCAATAATTGTGATGAAGGTTGTGATACTGTTGGCTTACCATACAGCACTTAAAGATCTGTACAGTGTGTAAATGTGTTACAAAGTATTACAATCAATAATATGTTAGTGATAGATTGAGTAAACCGGTAATATTATTGCCTTCTCTCAAAATTCTGAATTTTGACAATTATTTCTTCAGATATTCCCAGAATTTAAATTTTTTTTTTTTTTTTTGTCTTGACCGTTGGAGACATTTGTAGTCTCCAATGGTCACTGTGACAAATGTCATTATAATTTTAGGCATAACACTTTAAATTAAGGTCACAATATTCGCCATTAACTAGTTGCCTATTACCGTGCTAATTAGTAGCATACTGGCTGCTTATTAGTCATTATTAAGGGCTTTTAAGTACCTTATTCCTCATGACCATATCTATAGCTAATAGGTTATTAACTATGTTTTGTATGCTTTCTCTTACTTCTACCTTAAAAGGGCCAAACTAAGCAAAGCATATTAAGATCAACCTATTATCAACCTGCTAAAAGGTGCTCTCCTTCAACGTCTGTGTAAAATATACTGTTTGAGCAGGATGTTGTGCCTTTACTATGATGCAGATTGTGGTCCAGTAAACAATCCACACATAAGACATGGGAAATCTTTGAACCTGTTTAAATGTAGTTCAAAATACATTTTTACCAGCAAATAATGCTATTCTTATTGACTTGACCAAAGTGTAAAGCATTTCTCCTGTGAGTCGTGCCGCTCATTTATCTTTTTCTGTTAATACTGAACACATCTATCAGAATCTATCATCATTGTTTTTTTAAAACTATGTTGATAGTTACAGAAGCTCTAAGCAGACATGCATCTATATATTTTATTTACTCCATTTTCCCGTAAATTTCCAATTGTTTTCATTAGATCTGAATTTATTTGACATGTGTTTCCAGAGTTTTGAATGAACAAGACAAACATTATAAAAAACCTTTAAATTACCTCATTAGTGTTCGTTATGGCACCATGACATGTCCTGATCTGGCCAATCACAGTGACCAGCTCATTATTTTGTTTTCTAATCTAGATCACCAGAAAATTATCTCATTATCTCAAGAAAACAAGCTTTGTTTATAAACTAGTAATGAGACACATTCAACAAGGGGTGCACAAACTTTGCCATGCTAAAGACCCCATACATCATTAGCCTCTACCCAAACAGCTTTAAGTCCTTGTATACTATAATGGCACATTAAAACAAATTAAGCAGACAACTTCCCAATTCATTTTCTTATTTTTTCAGTAACAATTCTCAATCTTGTTATGCATTCAGTAAATATAATGTCGTTTTTTTAATACCCAACAGAAAGAGTAACAGTTAATATCCATTGTTTAGAACGTTCCTCTCTTGTCTTTCATTCATTAGTTTCCTTATGTCTTTATTTAATTGGGAGATACAGAAAAATAACTCATAGATTCTGTTAAGCAGTGACAACATCTAAAACAGTATTTGTTAAAATGGTATTGTCACAAATAATTGAATAAGGTGATTTCTCAATTTCTTCCATTTCTCCTTGTGCGACCCCTAGGCGACCACATGGTGACCCCCACTTTTAAAAACACTTCAGTTTTTTTGCCAATACGATGTAAAAAAAAAAAACCATCTTGGTTATCTTGTGAAAAATAAAATTAGTAAAATTAGTTCCTGAAATTGATAGGCCTATATAGCAAATAAAATGTATGGATGCTTGTCCCCTTAGGGCTTCCGTAGTTAGTTGCTGCAAATATTAAGAATTTCAAAAATGCATTCATGCAATCATAGAATGCAACCAATATGTCCATCTCAGTGCAATCAGCATCTAAATGGATTCAACAATAGTCCGTCATGTCTTACTTGATAGAGCCAGATACAGTATAGAGCCAGAATGGAATACAGCAACATTCAGTTTAATGGGAAAATAAGATGTGCAGTAAATAAAGCTGCTATTTATCAGGTTTAACTGAAGTTCCCTCTTCCCTCTCCCTGACCTGGTAGATATCTACAACACTGAAGAACAAGTTGTTTTGTGCACAATGTCTGTGTTATGGAGCAGTGCTGGAGCGTATAAACACATCAGTGGCTCCTCAGAAGTAAGTATTTACACGAAGGGATAAACAAGACTATAGGCACCTCACAGGTGTATGCACATATTTTGCTACAAGAATGTATTTTATCCCACCTCACACCTATGGAAATATGTATAAACCTCCACAAAGAAAGAGCAGAAATCTTTCACAATCCCTCCCTGACTTGGTGCTGGAAACAAAGTCTTCTGATTCCAAGATAAACACGGAGAAGCAGAGGTCTTAACCCTGGCTTCTCTCGCTAAATCCCATTTTGAACCATTACTTGACTCATACTCCGAGAGCTAACACAGCAATCTGGCTGGATCATCGGGTGCACCACCTTCTCTGACTCTGTGCACGGAGGAATATTTGGAGCCGGAAATGAGACCTCAGAGTAAACGGGTGGCTTTTTTTTCCCCTTCTTC